GTCAGAACATGCAGAACACAATTTGATATGATGTTTGAATTTGTGCTCGTATGATACAGAAGCTATAACTTTGTGGTGTTCTATGATAGAGGGCTAACAAGTTGGGGGGCACAAAAGCAAAACAGAGTTCTTGACCATGAAAGCCTGGAATGGCAGGAAGGTGTGGTGTCAGTGGCCCAAATCCCTGTGACCACTCCCACCCTGCTCCACCTTTTGCCACAGAAGCCTTCCACTGTCTTTGGCCTTATGGGCCAGAATGAGACTGGGACCAAAACCAAGCAGAGTAGGACATGTTCCTGGGATTCAGGGGAATTGAGGAACACAGGTTTTCTTTCTTTTTTTTAAATTTTATTTATTTGAGAGAGAGAGAGAGAGAGAGAGAGAGAGAGAGCACAAGCGGGGGAGGGGCAGAGGCAGAGGGAGAGGGATGAGCAGACCCCCCACTGAGCGGGGAGCCAGATGCGGGGCTCCATCGCAGGACCCTGAGATCACCACCCAGGTACCCCAGTAGGTTTTCTATAATTGGAGAAATCCTGTCACAGTCTTCCGACTGGACAGAAAGGACAGAAAGCTAATCCTGTGGAACTTTCTGGTCTCTAATCTTTGGTTTCTCATTCCCACCGCCCTCGATGCCTCATTAATTGCTTCCCTCCCCTGGAAGATTGTCCCTGCTATGTTTAGTACTCACTTCCTGCCCATTGATACCAACATTGGCTGTTGGTTCTAGATTTGAAGGGTGCAGGACTTGGAGGTGCTCCTTTGAACAGCTCAGATTTTCCGTGGGGGGCTTTGACCTTGCCCGGTCCATTGGGATTTTCCTAATGGGGAGTGTGAGAGAAATACTAAGAGAGTCCCTCCTTTCTCAGCACAGAGAGGCAGAGAGATGAGCAACAGAGAGAGGTGGCATGCCTGTAGCACCTGCCTGGCTGAAGAGGCAAGGAAGCTGGACTCTGGCCCTCCCGCTGCCTGGAACACAGTCCCAGCCATGATGGTGCCGCATGACCCTGTTACTCATGGAGGAATCAGAAAAGGAGCCTTGGGGATGTTGGCTCCAGAGCTGGAAGAACTGGGTGCTCCACCCTGTCTGAATCGGCCACCAGGCTGGGCCTTGGTGAGAGTGGCTGTCACAGCCTCTGGCACCAGGTGAGGCATTAGGCTCTGCATACAAACACCTGCTGTGAACTGTGAGCTGTCCTGCCCCCTGCCAAAGTCAGCCCTTTGATGCTTGTCAGCATCTTGCTGGGTAATACACTAACACCAGAAGAGCTCAATGACCCAGTGGGCATAATGGGACCTAAGCTGAACCTGGAGGCAAGAATCAAGGACATTATCAAAACCCAGAGCTTGAAGAAATGGAGCCTTGTCTGAAAGACCAGACAAATTCCTCCATGTGCTGGGACTCTAGCCCATGGGGGGTTCTTCTTGCTTCTCCAACCTCCTCCCACAAAGGCACTGGTGTTGACAGGCTTTGTTAAAAAGTGGATTCACTCTCGATTTGGTCTGGCAAACTGGACTTGCCAACAAATATGAGTGAATAGTTGCCTTAAAATTTCAGTGGGTTGAATGCAGGTGAAATGTGACCCCATGGCGCCATCCTCTAGGCACCCTGGGACAGTCTACACAGTGCACAAGTGTTAGCAGGGGACAGACAGGAAATACACTGCTGCAGATAAGATACACAGCCCGCTCCACCCCAGCTTGCTCAGAGCTCATGATCCAGACAGGTGGGGCAGCAGAAGCTCCTGGCCGGTGGTCACACTCACACGACAGTACCAGGGAGCTGGACACGCCTTGATCTCCCTCCAGTCTCCCAGGTGGTCAGCACTGCCCTCCTGAGATGACCCTCCGCCATTGTGCCCAACTTCTTTTTTCTTTCCTTCCTTCCTTCCTTTCTTCCCTTCTTCCTTTCTTTTTTCAACTTTTCCAGGAGGGGGCAAGACAACTTCCCACACTCACCGGCTCACTGGGAAGCAAGCTGAATTCCTTTTCATCGTGGTAAAATACACATAACAAAATTGACCCCTTTAACCATTTTCATTTAGTGCATTCATGTTGTTGTGCAACCATCACCACCATCCATTTCCAGAACGTTCCTTATCTCAAACCAAACTCTGTGAAACACTAACTCCTTAAAATTGTGGTAAGAGAGACAGCACAGGATTGTTCATTTGAGCCTCATTTCCCTGCACAGCGCTGGGCACCATCACCTCCAACCATCCCCACCCTCCATCCCCAGAGCGTTTCCATCTTCCAAGACTGGAACTGTTGTTTTACTCTTCAGGAAGGCCTTCCATTTATGGACTCGGATCTGCTGATGTCCCTCTGGGTTACAGCCTGGCTGCCATCAGCGGCCAGTTACGGGGGATCAGCCAGGCCGGCCCTTCCCTCGGGACTGGCTTCTCCACGGTCGCAGCAGGAGGGCCGAGGGGCCAAGGGCGGCTCACCCAGGGGGGGTGAGGTGCCTCTTGGGCACATTGATTATGATAGAAAAAGTTACTCGAGAGACTCTCAGATACTCCCCCACACCCCCCGCCGAGAGCAGGAGAGAACTCTCCCTGTGGAAGGTGCCCTCCCTGTACCCAGAGACAGAGACAGTCTCGGCACCAGAGACAGGAGATTCGGAGCCCAGCACGTTGGGTAAACAACCCTGTTCCTTGGTCCTCATGTCCCTCCCAGCCCACATTCTGTGCAGAATTTCTTCCTGAGTGAAGCTCCCGGAGTTAGGTTTTCCTGGTCCTGTCAATTCCCCACAGATCCATTGTCTCTCTGCCTAAAAAGTCTGAAAACGGCAGCCTCGTTCACTTCCGTGGGCTCCATCTCATTACTGGGCCTCGCTGCGCACGTAAGAGAACTTTGGTTTTCTCTCCTGTTAATCT